CATATCTGAAGATGAGCATGACAAGCTGGTTACGTCTATTCATGCTGGAAGTGACGGAGGAAAGGTGAAGGAATTTGACAGTGCTGTGGACGAAATCATCAGCCTTGGACAGGAAGACACCACTTGTGCAGCCCTAACAGAAGCCTCCCAAGTGCCAATAGTAATTGCATTACGTGGTGTGCCTGGAAGTGGGAAGTCATTCCTGACGACCCACTGCTCAGAATACCTCACTGATTCAGCAAGTGTAGCCATCTGTAGTGCTGACTTTTACTTTATGAAGGGTGGCGATTACAAATATTCAACAAAGCTCCTACCAATGGCCCATACCTACTGCCTAGATCTTTTCCTCCGAGCACTAGCTGAGGGGAAACAACTCATAGTTGTTGATAACACCCACTCGAGAAAGTGGGAGTACGAGATATACAGTTATATCTCGTCAATTCTTGGCTGTAGATACCACGTCCTTGAAATTCCATGTCCCTCACAGAAGACACTCGAAAGCTATCGATCTAGAAACCAGCATAAAATTGACGAGAAAACGGCACTGAATATTTTCAAGCGATGGGAAGTGGACGAAACAACTTTACTTGTGCCGCCATCTCTGGCATACCCACGAATGATTTCCAACACTCCGCCAGTCTACTCGCTGGTATCTCTGTGTTCCCCAGATGCACTGGACAGCTCTGAAGCTCTTGCCCAGTCTACCACCCTCAAAGCTGTGTACACAGCAGTCTTCTTGACCCCAGAGTCCCAATGGAGGCTGGTTTCAGCAGTAGCTCCCACTCATCCGAGGATTAGTGCCGACCATGTCACTCTGGTCTTTGAACCGAGCAAAGAGTCCTGTCTGAATGCCAACATTGGTAGCAGAGTCTCACTCTGTGTAACAGGTACTGCTGACAATGGCCAGGTGCAAGTAGCTGCAGTTGAGTTGCCCCGAGGCCTGACATGCCAGAATGCGGTGCCTCACATAACAGTCTCTGCCGGAGAGAATGTACCTTTTAAAGCAGCAAATGAGTTACTAGAGCGGCAGAGTCCTAAGCCAGTTTATCAAAACACTGAGCTTGAAGGAATTATTGGTATTGCAGTTCGTGAGAAAAATGTATTTGATGAACCCACTGAATGTAATTCTGAACCTTCAGCAAAAGCTCTTTCCGAGGAAGAACATTATACTGCCCAGCAAATCTTCACTATAAAGTCAGGAATGTTATTTAGAGGTCAGATTGTACCAAAACTGGCTGCCGCTGCTGACGATACTGATATAGACACGGTGGAAATTTGCACTGGGGAGCAAAAAGCCACACGGCTCTACCTCTTTGACTTTGATGACACCCTGTTTTCCACTCCCGATGCACGCACAGGGCGCCAGCTGTACGAAAATTTCACTGGGAGGAAATGGAAGCGAAAGGGATGGTTCACTTGGCCCGAGTCACTCCTGCCACCGTTGAGAGCAGCCCCCGGACCAGTGCTAGCGTCTTTCCGAGACCACATTGGCCAGGCCGGCAGCATCACTGCTATTCTGACTGGTAGGAATGAGCGCACAAAGCCTGGAGTCGACCATGTTCTCGAGTGCTATGGGGTTTATCCAGAGAAATTGATCATGAAACCAGATGATACTGACGAAGACACCCCTGTTTTTAAGGCCCGTTTTGTCCAGCAACTTTTGAATGAGCGTCCCAACATCACGTTGGTGAAATTTTGGGACGACAATACACGGAACCTTGCAGCCATTCACCGCCTTTCTTTGTCTTCAGCTTTCAAACATATCCAATTTGATATTGTCGATGCAACCAAGATGATCCAGACTGCTGCTACCAAGCAGGGAAAGAAGGTTAAGGTCCAAGCACAATATTCTAAGAAGATTTTAGGGGTTGACTCATACCCGTCTACACTAGAGTCCTACCTTGCCTCCTGCGGCTACCTTTCTAGCCCGGCCTACAAATCTTCTGCCGATTGCGGAATTCGTTTTATCGCCGAGCAGTTTTCCAAGCTAGTAGGGTACACTGGAAATCCAGTTCACCTTGTGTACCCATTCGGTTCGTTTCCTCTTGGGAGGAGGGGTGACGTGGACTTGTGCCTGCTCTGTCCCCCTCATCTCACACCAGCTGATGCTCTTGAGCAACTGTCGAGGGCACTCGGTGAATGCGGTATCACCTACCTTCACAAAGGCTACAGCACTCGTTGCCCACGGCTCAAACTCATGCTCAAGTTTACCGCTGCCCCTCCTATAGACTACGGCATTGTGTTTGCCAGCATTAGTGACCCCGCCCATTTTGAATCTCCACAAACCTTACAATTGCCTGCACCAAAGGTCCTGTCCAAGATTAGACCTGGTGACAGTGTCAGCAAAACGGCATTTACAGGTGCTGTGCTTACTCCACCGCTGTATAGAGGGTATTAATGAGGTCATGCCAGTGTCTCGATTCGGTGGTGTGGTGGAAATGACGGTGCAGATGCTGATAGCTCAAAGACAGAAGGGAAATGCTTATCACTGCATTCGAACCTTTCACATAGTGAAGCTTTTGGCCACATTCATTGAATTGCACAGAGACACATTGGCCGAGAAGAACAGCGACATGATTTTCAAAGAGTTTGCTGTGTACGTTACCAAATTACCAGACGAAACGTGGAAGAAGTTATTTGGTGAGTTCGTTCCATATGAGTTCATTCCAAAAGTGCAGAAAGTTTTCAAGAGAGCCACTGAGCTAATGTCCTCCGAGCAAGGTGGGCTATGTTACCAGGAGCTAATGGATAGGAGTGCCATCTATCCTCCCGAGGGTTATACTCTAGTAGAGATCAAGCTGTCGGGTAGTAACAAGATTGCTCTGTGGAGGCTTCATGCCATTGTAGAAGCACGATTTCCGTCATATGCCCGACAACTCATATCCCAGGGACTAGACATCCTACCTGATGGCAATGTGGAAAACAAAACCAAATTTGTGTTTGCCATAATGCACACAAAAGCCACCAAACAAACATTGCAGCAAGTTCTGAGGCCGTTTTGGAACGAAATATCAAGGTTCAAGAGTGAAGAAGGGGTGAACATATCACTGACATTTGGACGAACAGCAGAAAATTCAAGCTCGAGTGAAAAATCACACCAGGAACAACCAAAGGAATCAATCCCAGCCATTAAAGAATTGACAAAGTTTGTATCTGACTCTACTCAGTTTGAAATGATGATTTCCTGTTCGTTGACGTCCTATGAGCGAATGCTAGTTCACGAGAAATGTGAGCAGCTGGATCTGAACCATTCCACCATTGTAGTCCGAAAAGAGAAACACATCCTTGTGAAAAAGAACTAACCCTTTTATGTGCTATTAGCTATTAGCCTACTCTCACAATTGCTTTTAAAATGTCAAAGCTCTGCTGATTGACCACGTTGTGTGCATGCATTTCAAACATATTTTTGTAGTTGGCTATGTAGCTACTTCACCTGTATATACTGCTCTTCGGACTTAGGATCGGCCTACATTCATCGAAACTATATAAGCCTTGCTTACACATTCGCTCCTCAGGTGCCGAGCCGATTATGCTATTCTCATTTAGAGGTTTGAACATTGTGCAAACACAAAACACTTTCAAGATCGTTTAGCTTTGAATCTGCAGCAAACTCTGTCCCTGTAGAGTCCGCTCGACTGCTATTAGCCAGAGTTTCGACCGGACATTCCATTTCGCTACACACGAATAGTCACACAGTGTCACCCCCATCCACCCCCAGACTGCTAGTTGCCTGGGAATGAAAATTAGCTCACTGTGTTAATAGTGCACGTTAACTTTCTCCCTTTATGATTATTGCATGTCCGGAATAATTTCTTGTTCTTTTTGACTGCCTATTATTTTTAACCCTCGCCTGCGCACATGCGCAGCGAGGGTTATTGCAGTTGGTCTGTCTGTGCGTGTGTGTCCGTCCGTTTTTCTCTGTAACCACGGCAACTCTTAGCGTGAAACGTGGACTTAATATCAAGTAGGATGCATGCATGGTAAAATAAGATTCTGGAGCGGAGAAGGCCAGGGAAGCTGATGAAACGGGCAGCAAATAGAGATCGCGCGAACGGTCGCTCTACTTAGATGCTAGATGCTTTGCACGTGTGGGGAAGATTTGCTGGTCTGCCTGTATATATTGATTGTACAGTTGAGTAGGATCGAGATTTCTGGTTAAGTGAGAGCAGCACACGCCCAGTGAATCCAGGAGTCACTTATGTAGCGTAGCTAGTGGCTGAAATAAAGAATAAAGTGGTGAGGGTTATGTACTGTCAAGTGCTTTTCACTTTGCTGTAGTAGTAACTAGTATTGAACACGCACGTGCAAAAGACTGAGGTAGTGTAGCTAGTAGCCATTGGCAGCTGAAATAAAGAATAAGGTGGCGAGGGTTATGCACTTTCAAGTGCTTTTCATTAAATTTATCCTGGCATAATATACCAAGACCTAACTAGCAGTGAGTCAGAGTGGGTTTTCCTTTATTCCTAGAGAGCACAAGAATTTTCGCTTTGGGTGAGAGATTATCACCCGCCAAATAATTCCAAGGCACACCTTGCTGTGGCAGTGGAAGATTGTACATTACTCTACTGTAAGGGGTTTCCACCCTCTAAGATATAGCCAGCAGATCCCACTTGTCAAGATTCAGTGTTACGGACGTAGCACTTGTGAATGATTTCAACCTCGGATGACAGATTTGGCATGACACTATAGATCATGAGTTACGGCAGAGTGAGCCTGTGTAGATTCTCCTGATAGAGCCAGACCTCTGCATCTTCATTAGGGAGAGGCCTACAAGGAGGGGGTCCATCACGAGGAAGAACACAAGAGAACTATAGCTAACTCACGAACCGATGACACTGCTGTCTTCTGCACCGAAAATTTTCTTGTGGAGCCATGAATTGGTCGACAGCAAAATTGATCGATATCCAGTTCGTTAACCTGACTCGCGAGAGAAGGCGTGGCTCCTCGTGGCATCACGCCGTCCCCTTGCACGCACTTGCATAAACGCGCTCTTGTTTCTTAGCGGAGTACAGACCTGGTGGGCTAGCCGGTTTCCCATTCGGCGTTGATAATAGCTTACGCAGAGATCATCTCATTTTCAAAATGGTTTCACTGGGACAGACGTGGAAGAACGAGTTGGATTCGGCAATGGATATAACTTCTGTTGATTCAGCCACTGGTGTGTTTGGTGGAAAATACTGCAGTAAGGTTGGCGAAGCCGAGAAGTGGTATGTGTTGACTGGTCGGCAAGACACTGCAGGGAAAACCCTGGGGTGGACAGTAAACTGGCAGAATTCAACGTCACAATGCTCACTCCGGAACGACTTGGTCTGGTCAAATTCAATTTCTTCCCGACGGGGACCCTGCTTATCATTACCACTTGGCTACTCACCGCTCAGACCAAGCCCAGAGGACAACTGGGAGTCTACCATGGTGGGTTTTGATCGATTTTTACCTCAAGGAGCCGCCACATGAGATCAAGGAGAGGGCTAAGCTGCACTGCAGAAGAAGTCAACCAAAAGAAGCTTGATCTATTACTAAGCAGTGAACACTGCATGGTGTGATGCACTGTAGCTAGATATTAGCTACCACTCTGTTGTATATACCCCTGAATATTTTTAGCATTTTTGTGGTGGCTGTAGTAGAGATAATAATTATAGATAGCGCCCAGTATATACTTTGCGAGACGGGGTAGCTACTGTGGCGTGCACTGCATATATATAGCGAGGGGTAGCTAACAACTCCGGAACACGTCTGTATAATCTGCACGCCCACAATGTCGCTCGTCCCACGAGAACGCATACAAACCTACATCCGCTGCAGCTCCATGCGCGCTGTTTAAGGGCAGGACATAATCTGCCGCTTGAATTGGAGACGTCAACATGGCTCTTACAATCAAGAAACTTGTTTGTTCGAAGCTGTTTCAAGGGGCCCGACTGTGTGGAAGAGCAGGTTCAACAAAAGGATTTTTGGTGTTGAGGAGTCATCACGGGAAAGCAGGTAGCTAGCTAGTATAATATACCTAGTAAACAGTTACACTGCTAAAATTGTAACAATGAGTAAGTCCAGTCTTACTGGAGTAGTGAAGTTCTAGGAGTTAAATGGGATATTGTGTGCAAATATTATATAAGGTTTTATTTGTCAGAGGGATGTGAGCTACAGATAGCTGAAGGGCAGACATGGCACAATGAACTTGGCTCCAAAATGGTGGTAACTTCAGCTGACCCTGCCACTGGGGTGTTTGGTGGTATATACAACAGCAAAGTTGGAGATGCTGAGAAATGGTACGTGCTAACTGGGCGGCAAGACATAGATGGAGATACAGTTGGTTGGACAGTCAACTGGAACAACGCCTACAATAATGCACACTCGGTGACAACATGGTCCGGTCAGCAGCAATTGAGGTGTAGCGACCCTGTAATTCTGACAACATGGCTTCTTACACGTCAGACCAGTCCTGAAAATGACTGGGAATCCACACAGATTGGATCCGACCAATTCTTCCTCGACGACCCTTCTCCTGAAGCAAAAGAAAAGGCCAAGTTTCACTGTCGAAATAGCCATCCAAAGGATGCATGAACTAGCTGATAGCAGGACACTGGACAAAATGAAAGTAGCTACATTAGTAAGGAAGTGTGTAATTCGGTTAAGAATCACTTCACAAAACCATCCAAATGCAGTGCGTGAATTAGCTGCGAGAGTAGGAGAGAGTAACGGAAATTAAACTGAACAAACAGAGTAATTTCTGTGGTTGTTACTGATAGAGTACACTATTGAAGCATAATTATCAGTGGAATTCAGATTTACTACCATCTCACTGTATAATAGAAGCTACTAGAGTACAAGGGAGAACTACAAAACACAGCCCTTTCAGTAGCACATAGGTATTCAAAAAAGATTCGGACTAGCTAAGATACAATACTGCGATATAGTATACTGTATATATTATGCATGCACAAAAAAGCAGTAAGTAATAGTTAATGTACGGAAGTCAGTGCTGTGCGCTTAATAATGGTACGAGGGGCGTGGTCGAGATAGTCATACAGCATGCACGAGGCGCAGCCGAGATGCTGTATGATCTATCGAGACCACGTTCCGAGTACCATTATCACGCGCACAGCACGTGCTTCCGTACATTAATACTGTAATCTAGCTAGGATAACATAACTAGTGGAAATGTTGAGCATTGTTGGCGAGCGGGAGTGACCCAATTTGGTCGGGATGCATAACGTGCCGTCAGCAGCACACAGCTTTCCTTTCGTGAAGCAAGACAGATCTACCTGTCGCCGTTATTTGCGTATTGTACATTGGCAGAACGGTGAGCAGGTGAGCAGACGGTACTTACCTTAAGCTTTCAAGTCGTCAGTCGTGATCCACCAGGCAGCTGATATGCAGCAGTACGTGCACGAGCAATCCTAGGCGTATTTGCAAGTTGCACCTTGGAACCATGAAGATTGGGAAGAGGTATATACAGCCTTGGTCAGTCACCGAAGGTTGCAGCGCATGCCGTCGAATGGAGGAGAGTTCTCTAGCTGGCTAGATCGTCGATCGGCGCATATCGAGGCACCGTGCGTGAAAATGCGTAAAAATTAAAGAAGCGCGTACAAAGCCGCGCATGCGCACTTACACGACGTACGAACAGACGATATATACAGCGGTTTGCGCGAAACCTGTAAATAAAGGATTTGCGCATGCGCACAATTTGAATTTGCAGAGCCATGGCTTCATACAAGAACAAGCGTAGACGTCCGCTTACAGTGACGATATGCGGTGGAGGATGGTCTGGATGGTCACACTCCTACACTCCTTATACATAGCCTCTAAGTCCTGAGGAGTCACCAGCCATTTTTAGAGCGGCTCTTGCCTTCAAAATATCCTAAATTCCCCTTCTTCTGGGACTAACTCTTCAAACTCATGCCACTTAAAGCCAATCACAACGCTGCCACTGACTTGTACTTATGCTTTACATTATGCATATGTCTCACAGTGAACTTGGTTCGCTTCACAGGGTCATATATTTTCACAAATGCCTGAATCCTGCGTGACAAGAAATGCCCCTGATATCGTACCTGGACCGCAGACCTAGTGCCTGTTAAATAAGTATTAGGCTTTGGTAAGACCTGTACACCAACTCTTGCTCCACCGACATTGAAAATGTTCGTCATCTCCAAAATGATCTTCAGATATCATCAAAATCGTGCACATCCATGCGCATGCGCAATGTCGGCGTACGACGCAATCTTGCAAGTTTCGCGCAAACCGCTGTAATTATTGGCGAGCGGGAGCGAGCCAACCTAGTCGTCGCAACGGGCCGATTTTTCTATTTGTATACGACCGACCGTCGTCGTTGATCGTACGTCATGTAAATGCGCATGCGCCA